CTGAGGCTCAGCAACAGGCCTGCCTTCATGCCCTCTGAAGGCAAAATGGTTTCAGTATGTGTTGCTCCTTTTCTCTTAACACTTGTATACAGGGTAAATTACCTTGGCTTTTGAGTACTCCACAGACAGAGTTGAAAGTAAGTTCTACCTGGCCTCCCCCGCTACAGGACATTGCCAATGCCTGGAAGGGTCTGGAGCAGGTAGAGAAGGGTTACGAGGAGTGGCTGCTCTCAGAAATCCGTCGTCTGGAGAGACTGGACCACCTGGCTGAGAAGTTTAAACAGAAGTCTACCTTGCACGAATCATGGACCACAGGTATTAGTCACTACCTCTCTGATCTTACAGTCAGCCATTTTCACTCTACTGTGAGGGCTGACATATTCCTTTGTATTTTGTAATGCTCAACACAGGAAAGGAGGAGCTGCTGTCTCAGAAGGACTACGAGTCAGCCTCTCTAATGGAGATCCGTGCTCTGATGAGGAAACACGAGGCCTTTGAGAGTGACCTGGCTGCTCACCAGGACAGAGTGGAGCAGATTGCTGCCATTGCTCAGGAGCTCAAGTAAGATAGATACACCTCAGCTCCCTTGAAATATGAAGAGTACTTTCTTATAGTGTTTACAGTAGGTAATTATAATGATTATAAAGATGTGCTGCTCTTTAGTGAACTGGACTATTATGATGCTGCTACCATCAATGCTCGATGCCAGGGTATCTGTGACCAGTGGGACAACCTGGGAACCCTGACCCAGAAAAGGAGAGAATCACTGGAGGTACATGCATATGATAAAATCTTGGTTGTTATGGTACAGCTGTCCTCCTCAATTGTCTAAATCAACACTTGAATTGAGAATGCGGTCAAACTAAAGTAGATTCCACTTCCAGAAACATTAAGACTCTTTTGCATATTTAGCCAATGAAGAGTATGGATAAAATATGCAATTTACAGTAGATAAAGGATGTGGGCTTGCTGTAATCTTTGTTTTTCTTTGCCATAGCGTGTGGAGAAGCTTTGGGAGACAATTGACCAGTTGTACCTGGAGTTTGCCAAGCGGGCAGCACCCTTCAACAACTGGATGGATGGAGCTATGGAAGATCTGCAGGACATGTTCATTGTGCACAGTATTGAGGAGATTCAGGTGAAATACAAACACTGAATGCTTGTAAGAGTGCTTATCTTCTTCAGTGACACTGTGTACCGGCTTTAGTATCTTATCAGTCTGTTATGGGAGAAGGACATTGGTATTGTTCTTCTGTAATAGACTCCTTTTTTGTACCATCTTTCAATTGTCTACTTACGCACCATGTCTTAACATCATTTTGTTCTTTCCTGCTATTGTCAACCTCAGAGTTTGATCACAGCCCATGACCAATTCAAGGCCACCATACCAGAAGCTGATAAGGAACGCATGGCCATCATGGGCATTCATAACGAGATCCTGAAGATAGCTCAGACATATGGGATCAAGATAGTGGGTGAGAATCCCTACACTGTCCTTTCTCCTCAGGATATTAGCAACAAATGGGAAGCTGTAAGTACTTTACTATCTTTATTTGACCATTTCAGCTTGATCAGCAAGAACAATGGCTCAATGCATTGAGTTCTTTGAGCTAGGAGAAGTGTTTTCAGCTTCTTAACTGAGGAATGTTGCTTCCTTCCTAACAACAGGTGAAGCAACTGGTCCCAATGCGTGACCAGATGTTGCAGGAGGAAGTAGCCAGGCAGCAGTCCAATGAAAGGCTGAGACGCCAATTCGCTGCTCAGGCCAATATCATTGGACCCTGGATTCAGATCAAGATGGAGGTGTTTCACCATACACCTCACTCACAGTAGCTACATGTCACATAGTATGAAAAAACTAAAACTGAAATTATCTTCCTTTTGTTCAACAGGAGATCAGCCATGTGTCAATTGATATTGCTGGTTCTCTAGAGGAACAGATGAGCAATCTGAAAACATATGAACAGAACATTATTAATTACAAATCCAATATAGACACGCTGGAAGGAGACCACCAGCTCAGCCAGGAGAGTCTTATCTTTGACAACAAGCACACCAACTACACTATGGAGGTATTGACAACCAGCTATTTTCAATTCATTCTGAAATGTATTTTCTCTTTGAAGTTTCAAGTGTCATTAAGGTAAAGTGTCTTATGCAATTAAACTTCCAAGTCTCTTTAATCTCACCATAAAGGCATGATTCCTATTTTCCAATTATGTCTATTTTAGCACGTGCGTGTGGGATGGGAGCAGCTCCTCACCACTATCGCCCGCACGATCAACGAGGTTGAGAACCAGATCCTGACCCGTGACGCCAAGGGCATCAGCCAGGAGCAGTTGAACGAGTTCAGAGCCTCCTTCAATCACTTTGACCGGGTTAGCAATATATGGAGTCTTTGGTTTCTTCTTTGAAAAAGCAAAGTTATGCAACTTTATCCAAACTGTAGAATAAGCACATTCTTTTTTTCTATTTGCAGAAGAGGAATGGCATGATGGATCCTGATGACTTCCGTGCTTGCCTGATTTCTATGGGTTATGATCTGGTGAGTGCATATACTCCTGGTCAGAGTATGACTCTAACTGCTTTTTTGTAGTTTTACAATAATCCAGAAACACAAGGAAGCAAAATCAGCTTTCTTTTATATGAACTCTTCCATTATTTGTTTTAGGGTGAAGTTGAATTTGCACGCATTATGACTCTTGTGGACCCCAACAACACAGGAGTTGTCACCTTCCAGGCCTTTATTGACTTCATGACCAGGGAGACAGCTGAGACAGACACTGCTGAACAGGTCATGGCCTCCTTCAAGATCCTGGCTTCTGACAAGGTAATTACAAACTAATAGAGCCACTAAAAGAACCTATGTATGTTTTTGGAGAATCTGCTAAACACGGCTCTTGTTGTCTAAGCACTCATTTTTTTCTACTATGTTCTGCAGGCATACATTACAGTGGAGGAGCTGAGGAGGGAGCTGCCCCCAGAACAAGCTGAATACTGTATCAGCCGCATGACCAAGTACATTGGCGGTGATGCTCCCCCAGGCTCCCTTGATTATATCTCCTTCTCCAGTGCCCTGTATGGAGAGAGCGACTTGTAGAGTCCTACCTGACACGTACACCACCCACAACATCCCCTACACCCTTCCCCAAAATTCATGAAACCCTTAAATATCTAACTCCTAGAACAATGTCAGATGTAATGGATGGCTTTGCTGCAGTGATTTAGTTCTGTGCGTCACCAGTTGATATCCCGTGACACCCATCAGTTGCTGTCTGATCTTGTTAGTGGTCCATCCCTTATGTTGTGAAAAGTTGTCTCACAAGACAGTAGGGATTGAAGAGTACAAAACCCAACACGATATCATTTTTCACAATGGCACTGGTAATAAGACCTCTGCTCTCCCTTCATACAAATGGATTTTGAAGGAAGAAAAATAAATTACCCTGAAGAATATCATATTTTTTGTATTTTGTTGTTTCATCTAA